GAACTGCAGGATGATGATTCTAACCTGTCAGTCAGTGGTTCTGTTTCAGAACCGGAGGTCTCTGATCTTAAAGCATCAGTTAGCAATTCTGAGAAACCTAAGAGAAGAACTACAAAGAAAGGTATACGAGTGTGTTATCTAGCTTATCACATGATATGTTTCAACTTTATATGATATGAATGCGAAGTTATGGTACTTGAGGCTGAAATAAAAAAAATTTCAGCTGTGTCTGCAACTTCGAGTATGGAGAAAGTGAAGACAGAAAAAAAGACAAGGGGGAGGAAGAGCAAGGAAGAGATCAGTAAGGTAGATGACCAAGAAAGTGAGACGGAATCCAGTGATTTAGAGGGGTTTGTCTACGTTGCAGATCAAGAAAAGGAGAACGGTGACATAGATTTGGAATTCGAAAAGGGTGATGGTGAGGATATAAGCTTCACTTATGGTTGGCCTCCTCTTGTTTGTTGCTTTGGAGCCGCACAACATGCATTTGTGCCATCAGGAAGGCCTGCCAATCGGCATATAGATTATGAAATTCATGATGCACTTAAAGATGCATTGTGGGCGCCTGAAAAGTTTATTAGGGCTCCTGGTAGCTCAGCAGGTGGTGTTGCAATTGCTCTAGCATCCTTGGGTGGTCGAGTTGCTTTCATGGGTAAAGTTGGGAATGATGACTATGGGCAGACCATGCTGTATTTCTTAAATGTCAAAAAGGTTCAAACACGGTCAGTTTGTGTTGATGATAAAAGAACGACAGCTGTGTCACAAATGAAGATTGCTAAGAGGGGTGCTTTACGAACGACCACTGTCAAACCTTGCGCAGAGGATTCTTTGGCAATATCAGAGATCAATATTGATGTGTTGAAGGAGGTAATGCCAGTTTTTTGGTTTTTATTTATATTAATATTTACTGTTTTCTCTAAGTTCATACATTGAAGTCCTTGTTTTAAAGATTTTTTGATATATACGTAGAATTTGCGTTCCAGTTCAATTTTCCTCTCAGAGCTGCAAAATATAAGGATATAGATTGAGAAAGATTGTGGCTGGAATATCATACCTCTCCTACTTTTTTTTTTTTTTTTTTCTTCTTCTTCTGCAAGCAGCTTATATATTATTTTTCATACTGAAGGTATAAGCTGTGTCTTATAAGGAAAATGTTATAATAAAAAATCAGAAAGGGGGAAAGTATTAAGCAGAAGAAATATCTCAACCATGTATGAACCTCGTGAAATGAATAAGAGTTTAAAGCATTTTAGATCAACTTATCAAATTCAGAATCCTTTTTAATTTAAAATTAAGGTGTCATCGGCTGATTACTTGGTGACATTTGTGTAAGAGATTCTTGATGGGGCATATTTTTGGGGTTCAAGGATAGAGAATTGAGATCATAAAGTTTCTCCAATTTATAAATTTCTACAACACCTCTCTCTCCCACCACATCCCATGGGTGTACCTGTTCTTTCCTCCTACTGATAGAACTGCAAGTCTGCAACAAGACCCAATAAATGATACAGGAATATAAGAAAACTTAACCTGAGCAAGCTATGACCTAAAATCAAAACTTTCTTCTGCCATCCTCTTTATCCTCAGAACCTAAGGGAGACCCTGATAGTGTTAAAAAATTCTTGAGCTTTGTTTTTAACCACTATGCACTTGTTAACTAAGCTATCTAAAATATTTAGTAGTAGGTCAAAATCATGGTCACGGTAATGTAAATGTTAATGAAATATGGTAGTGGTGCATATATGACTCATTATCTTCCATACTTCTGTACCAAACACCTGGCCATTTTCACACCTAGTTTATGCAGCCTAGAGTTGTATGGTCTAGGTTATTCTTCTTTATTTTTTATTTTTTTTTTAAATGTAATGTGGATGTGTGTACATGTATGATCTACCTATGCAGTGTGTTCTTGCTTCTTGTTCAAGTATGCTATGCTGAGTGCTATATATAGGCTGTACTGCTGAGATTAAGTTCTATTTTTATTTTTAATACAGGCAAAGATGTTTTACTTCACTACTACTTCCTTGCTTGATGCTAATATGAGGAAAGCGACTGGACAAGCACTTAAGCTATCAAAGAAATTAGGTGGTGTCATCTTTTATGATCTAAACCTCCCTTTGCCACTTTGGCACTCCAACGAAGAAACCAAATCTTTCATTCAGCAAGTATGGAGCCTTGCAGATGTCATTGAAATCACAAAGCAAGAACTTGAGTTTCTTTGTGGAATCAAGCCTTCTGAAGAGTTTGACACCAAAAATAATAAGAAATTTAAATTTGAGCATTATGAGCCTGATGTTATAGCCCCTTTATGGCATGAGAATCTCAAAGTTCTGTTTGTGACAAATGGGACTTCTAAGATTCACTATTACACCAAAGAGCATAATGGTGCTGTTCTTGGAGTGGAAGATGCTCCAATGTCTCCTTTCACTCAGGATATGTTGGCATCTGGAGATGGCATAGTGGCAGGTATATCCACTGAAACTTGAATTTTCGGCACATGAATGCATCTTTTCTCCTTTAAAACATTAAATGCATTATGTACTTAAATAAAGCAGCATTTTGGGCTTTTGGCCATATTTTTAGCAGTAGTTCTGTTTAATTTTTGTTGCTGGCTTGCATAAGTCAAGTAGCTAATGGGTGAGACTTCAATTCATATTTGCAGCCCAAAAAATCAGGCACAGCGCTGTGCCTCTGCAGCCCTAAAGGTCATGTCAATCTAGACCAATTTTTCAAGCAATTATAAAAAGCCATCCATGTATTCATCCTCAAGTAATTCTCTTATGTGATCTTGTGAGTTTCACATTTTTAAGACATGCCTTTGTGCAATGATTCATTCACCGGGATGTTGTGGGATGAAATATGTGTTTGTATATATGAGTATTGACTAGGCAAAATCTTAATCAAACATAGCCCCGCTTCCTACATATTTATACAAGACATGGGTAGGAAACTTGATGCTAACTTACTAAGTACCCTACCAGAAAATGGGAGAAAGATGCATCTCTCAGGTTCATACCACTTGGGTTCGATGCAAATCATGCCAAATCCGTAGCAATAGGTTTGAAAGTTTTTAGATGTGTTATTGCACCCTTGTATAACACTAGTTTCATTGTCCTTCCTGGGCCTTCTGGCTATCTTTCTGCAGTACTGTCCTTGGGTCTTGCTCCAAACAAAAAATGGTTGATCCTTCTTATCTTTAGGTTTTGGCATTAGTAGGCATTAATTGTATTTTCTGATTTTCTGGACAAATGCTTTATATTTTACCTGCTGTCCTATTTTCTACTAATCTTATATGATATCAGTTATCCTTTGTTGATAGTGTTTTTACAATGTCTTTTCAGCTCTCTTGAGGATGTTGACAGTGCAACCACATCTTATAACAGACAAAGATTACTTGGAGCGTGCAATCAAATATGCTGTTAATTGTGGAGTAGTTGAACAGTGGATTATAACTCGGCAACAAGGCTTCCCTGCTAAGGAAGGCATGGAAGAAGATGAAGAAGATTCCATTCCCGACCTTAATGGCATCAGGTCTATAACCGAGAGAGAGTTCCGAACAGTAATGCCTATTATCAGTTGATCAAATTCAGTCTCTACCATAGGGATTTATTTTGTTAGCTTAAACATGATCGAATCTACATTCCTCACATCCTCTTTAAGGTGAGATTATATCCCCCGCCCCAGTTGTTCCCCCTAACTTATTGCCCATTTAGTCATCAGTTCTAAATTCTAACGCGAAACTTACATTTAAATGTAGGTTTTTTTACAGTCGTAGATCGTTCCAAAACTCGGCCGTTACAAGGTAAGCACCATGCAAAGCTGGGATGAACAGAGATGCTCCTCAGAAGTCATATGTCCTTGTATTTCCATACTAGGAATAGATGGATAATATATTGAGTCACCTTATCTTGTATTGGGATTTTCTGAATATTAATTTCCCACAAAAAAGGAGCAACAAAGCAAAGAAATGGTCCCCAACAAATTGTCCAATCATCATTCTTATCCTATGTCACCTGGATTATCGGATCATCAAATCATACATAGTATAACCCTAATATTCACAGTTTTCTTGTCCTAACAACTTACTTTTGAGTCAGATAATTTTAATCTTATGTTAAAATTTATAATGTCAATTAAAAAAAAAAAAAATAGTGTCAGCTTTTACTGGAGGACCAGGTGGGTTTCTCTTTGTGGATTGTGGACCTTTGAAAATGAAGATTAGTGATGGTGTAATATGCTGTTTAACAAAATTATAAATCTCTAATTACTTATTATTGCTTTGGTTAGTGGGTTTACTGCTTTGGAGACAATGCGTTATTGGATCCGCTGCAATAATTAATGGGGATTAATCTTATCTTTCATTTTTATTTCTAGGTAATGCGACCCAACTCAATCATTTTTCTTGGTAGACATCACATGAGGGAACAATACTATATTTGATTAAGGTGCTAATTATTATGTAAGTTTCTTGGGGAGAAAAAGAGTAATGATATAAAAAGGGTTAAAAATCGAGTTTTCTTGTCATATGCGAGTATGTATGATCATATACGTACTGCGCACCTTGTGAACTTGTGTAAACATAATCCCTATGTTTATGTTATTTGTTCTCGAGTACCTATGCTAGAGAGCATAGGTCTAAGAGTCAACTCTTTCATTCACGACAACTTTCCAAGTTCTCATTGTGAAAGAAGTGTGAATTATCCATAACTTCATGGTCATGTTTAGTATCAATTTTGTCAAAAGTCTAATATGTACTCTTAAAATGAAATGAAGAGTCCGAGTAACATAGGTTTCAAGTATACCTAATATGTATCGTTTGATAGATTTAGCTTTCACATCTGCAATTAAGGATGATTGCAAAATTAATGTGATACACATATTCTCTTTAACTTTTACACGTTAAAGGAATCTGAGATGCCTTTGGTCAAGTGTTCTTAATCGTAATGCATAAACTTCAATGGTAGGTTGGAATCTTCATCTTTAAAACAATCATTACTGGCTAAAACAATCAACAACGATATTTGATTCCTTTTTAATCTTTTTTATTTTAGGACTAACAAAGTTACAAAACAAACACCAAGAACTATGATTTTAACATAGTTTTCACATTGGTGTGACAGCAAAAGAAATCTGTGGGCTAAGGTATGTAAGATAATAGCTGACAGAAACTAAATCTCTTAACAAACTAACTTCGCTCCTCTTTGCTGCAAAATATACACCAATGTTAAGAAAAGAGATGATGATGAGTTGATAGCGACAATAATGGGTGCAATTATACAATGTAAATCATCCACAAGCTGCCTATTCACAAAACAACCAATCCTACCACTTGAGAAGCACAAAAAGAATTACGAAACCAATCTGCAAGCCTCCAGTTATTACGCTCTTCTCAGCCAAAAAACAACTATCCAAAATGAGGGGTCGAAAGCATAGGTTAATCACACGAATGAGTTGATCACTACTTGGAAACTGCAACTCCGTCAAGTTTCAGGGCAGCTTGTTGGTCCAAAAACCATACCAACTTCCCTGTTGATGGCTCCACCATCCTTGCTGGCAATACTGAGTTGGGTCCCACATCAGCCGCATTGATTGCCTGGCATACAGCCTCTGCTTTCCGACCACCAGTCACCACCACAGCCACATTGGATGCTGAGTTGATGACAGGCAATGTAAAAGTGATCCTCTCAGGTGGAGGCTTGGGAGAGTCAGTGATGAAGGTAACCCATTCGTCCTTCACACCCAACACAGAGTGATCAGGGAAGAGAGAAGCCACATGTCCATCAGGTCCCATTCCAAGAAGAATGAGATCAAACTTAGGGCAATCATTGATATCAGAAACACTAATCAACCGAGTTTTAACTAGCTGCCGGATACCGAATTCATACTCACTTGCAGCATCCTCTGCAGATAGGGAATCATTGATGGAGTGCACATGGCTAGGAATAACAGGCACCTGAATTTTACAAGGAAGAACAAAGAAAATTTTTAGGTCATGATTTTCAACAAAGTATATGTCTCATCATGTAAAGAATTTTGATCCTTCAGGAGCTTTATAATCTTCATTTTCACAACCAAATGTATCGAGACTACGGGAGTATGATACTAATGAAAACAATATCATCATCTATGATTATATTTAGATGTCACGAATACAGATGTAACAAGCATTCAATTAGGATGATTCACTGCCAACAATTTTGCTCAGAAATATTAGCAAAGCCCTTGGAAGGATTGGTTTGGCAGCACATGGGAAACTGAACGAATGCAATGGAGAAACATAGTAAATTCAAAAGTCTCTCAGCTCCAAATTCCAGCGTAGCTCATAAGAATGAGGATAAGATCTGAAAACAAGTAAGGGTCTACGACTTTAACACTAATCTAAGCTTAAACTTCAGTCCCGTCATCTCAATCTCCCATCAAGCGAGAGTAGTATGGACTGTGGTGTTTTGACAACAGTTCGAAGACTTGACATATGATTAACAACAATCATATAATAATTTACTTAATCTAACAATTGTTCAATTAATGTCACCATCTTCACTTAACCTAACCACTGTTTAAATTTCTCACCTAACATGTAGACCCATGATAGGAATCAAGTATACAAGTGGCTTACATGTTGCTGATGCAAGCATAGTACATTCTATAAATGATCAAGGTATATTGGAATTCCTCTAATTAGGAAGGATTCAATAATCCTAAAGTCATCATAGGAGCATCTAGCCAACCACCAGATCAGTGAATAAATTTAACTAAATGAAAACAATAAACAAACCACCTAAGGAATCTCATTTTTAGTGATCTAAAAACTAGTAATATAATAGGCCATCATTTCTTCTAAGATGGATCAGGAGGCTTACAAGCAAAGTAATAAAAGAGTAAAATCGAAAAAGCACATTCAGAAATAAATACAAGTAATTTAAAGGAGATCGGGAAGGGAAAAAGTCACCTGCAAATGAAATGTCCTTTGAATTAGCAGAAACTATAACAAAACATACCTCATGACAACCAAAATCAGCCACATACAAGAGTAATGCGACTGTATATACTTTTGCCAAAAAAATTGTAGCATATAAATTCATACTTGGCCTTTTCCTTAACCTTTCGGCCATGAAAGTGAACTATACCTGGATGGGTGTCATCGGGTCAAGCAATTAATATTGTCTCGTCCCATAAATTAAAATCAGAAAACAGCATCTACACATTAACTTGATAGGGGATACAAAACAAAATCTGTATTGACTAACAAGTAAAAATGTTGTTAATAACCTAAATGACAAGCTAACAAAGTACACAGAGTACAAGATAGTAAAGGAACCACAAATTAAGATTTAATAAACAAGATAGGTATGCAGCAAGAACTTCAACTCAAAAACATAATTGTAACCAACAATAAACATTACATGCTCACAAAAGTAAACATGTCTGATGGGAACTTCCACTCGGTTGAAGTATAAAAACAGAAAATGGAAAATAAGTTCGACCTAAGAAGATTCACATGCTCAAAACATAATGCATACAAAAGAAACAACCCAATCAACTGTATTTCAAAGAAGGCATTTTTTTCCTGAGTCACAAGCTCGTCTCTTTTCCTCTTTCAATTACTAATTTTGTTTGCCAGCTATTTGGATGTGTTGAATTACATATTTGGGTATAGCAAAATCAACAAAAGCACTGCCCACAATCCCACAAACATAAAATAGGAAGAAATCACATCTATGAACAAAAGGCTCGTATAAAACAAACTTGTCACTAAGTTGACAGATAAAACCTACAGATCAGAGAACTTTCAGTAACATTTTCCTAACTATATGTTAAATATGCTTATAAATGAATAAAGGTGCCGAATCTGACATTTTTGTCAAGAATCATAAAACCTTTCAGCATCAAGGAACTATAGATGTGAATAGTGAACTGCAAATGACATCATAAGAAACCATTCTCTTCCTTTCTTGCCCCACCTTTATTTTCTGATTTCAATCACATGCTAGCTGTTCCCTTCTTACCGCGAATATACTAAAATCAAGATATGGTAGGAGCATTCAATAACTTGCACAATTACTAGACACAAACGTAGAAATCAAACAGGCAAGCTTCAAAATTCAAAATGAAGCTCCAAGGTCATAAAACAGATACAATAACAATAAAAGAAGACACCAAGGAAATACATGAATCTGCTTCAAAGCAGGGCAAAACATATTCAGTTCAGAAAGTATAGAAGCTATAGACGAAAATTAAGAGGCCGAAAAACGGACCTTGGTCAAGAGACCGTCCTTCGCTAGCTTGTAATTACTGTCAGGATGGCTCTTTGCTACCACACGCTCATCAGTCCAAAAAATATACCACTTAACCCAATCAATAGTTTTGTTATAAGGCGCTTCAGAGAGTTTTCTGTTTTGACACAATGATATAAGTCAAGAGACAAATCACTAACCAAAAGGCTCATAATGTAAAAGATGAGCAATGAATAGATTGAATACCCCAATAAGCCAATTAGAGAACCACCAGATAAAGCAATGGTAAAAACGCCCCGCTCTTTTACTGATGCATCTGATAATTCAGATATATATTCTACCAAGTCAGTGCTTAGATCATCTAAACTCTCATGAATCCTTAACTCTCCTCTACTCGTCTGAACTCGAGGAAACGCCATGCTTTCCTTTACACAACAAATTTGAGGAACAAGTTCTGTTTCAACAAGAAGATAAACTCTTCAGTTTTAATCAACACCAATAAAGACTCAAGTAATACACCCAATATACAACAATGCAACTATACATAAAAAACAATAATCTCACAAACAAAAGTCCTACATTCAAAATGATAATATCAAACGTCTTCCCTACAGAATATGCAACCGCGAGAAAGTCCAAGTTAACATACCATATTAATCAATCTCGCACACATGAACAGTAAAATCGCAAGTGAAGCATGAGATAAAAACAAAAATCACCATGATTCTCCCTTATAACATTTACACAGTAGACAAACAATAATAAGTCAACATTTCAGAATTCTACAAAACCAGAACACACCAAACATTCAGAAGTAAGAAAATTGCCCAACATTTCATACAACATACATGCAACAAAGAAACAATGTATTCAAGTCAAAGAATCATCATCTCAACCATCCAAAAATAAAATAATAAACAAAAATACTTTAACCAAAGATCAAAATAAAAGGACCCAATTGCAAAAAAAGCAAAAAATATACAGTTATCATGACAAAAAAACCCAGATCATTCAACAACCCATAACCCATTTATCATCATAACCAACAACAAAAGTCCAAGAACCCCAAGACTACTGGGTTCGACCCGTGAGACCGTCTCGTACAAGAATTTTCGAAAGCGAAACCAAGAACTAAAAAAAAAAACAATTACTAAGAAAAAACATTTTCTAGAGAGAGAAAGAAGAAATTCTTACAATGAAAAAACCCAGAAGTTGAAGAGAGAGAAACAAGAAGGGTGGCAATGGAAGCCAAAATAGACAAAGGTAGAAGATGGGTATCATAAGAAAATGATCAATTTATAATGGGTGAGTTCCAAAATTTCAATTTTTAAAGAATTTTTTTTTTTAACTGATTATAACTATTAATAATAAAAAAAATGGTTCAAAATATTTTAACCATTGAGAGAGAAATTACCCTTTACACGTGCATTAATCGATCCACAAGAAAGTAGAAACGTCTTCTATAAATTGATTTGTTAACTCTAAAATGTCGACATCTCCATTTTTATCTGTTTCTGAAATTCTTGGATAAACTCAAACAGATGAAAAACTGTGAAAAAATTAAATAAAAAAAAAAAAAAAAATAACAAGGAAATGGAGGTAGTCATACTTATGGATAATTGCCAATTTATTGATAATAAATCATAGCACAAGTCAAGTACACTCTTTGTCTTTATCATGAATTTCCTGCTATTCCTTTTCTATCTGAAAAGGATTCATCGGATTGTTTATTTTATTTTTATTTATTACGGGATCGCAAACTCTTAAATAAGACGGGTGTACAATAACATGAATACAAAGTTATTGAAGGCACCTAATGTACAAATGGATGCTTTCTCCGTTTTTTAAGATGAAAAGTTTCTCTTGAAAACTGATGTTAATATCTAACGTATAAATCAATAATCACTAATATTAGTCAGATTGGATTAGGTGTAAAAGTCAAAACATTTCACTTAAAATAAACGAAGAGAGTATTTATGATTATTACAACACAGAGTAGGAATTACCTCAAAGGGGCGCTTTCGTCATTTTGGTGGAAACTTTATGGGCATTTATGTCATTCAAATTTTTTTTTCTTATTAGACAACTTAACTCTGTGAAAGTAGACATTACGGAAACTAGAACTAAACCCACCATTAAAATGGAACTTGAAGATTTCTGCAACAATGAAGGTCGAGGAATTCAATGAAGAAGGGAAAACTCACAAGCAAACAACAAACACCTACTCTTTGGGGTTAATCATGCCATAATTTTTATATTTTTATTAGGGTTTTTTTGTTAAATTCGGCGGCTTTGCTGCGAAAAAGCCGAAAAATGGTGGTGTTGGTAGTGTTGAGGATGGTGCTTGTTGTGGTGTTAAGTGGAATGCACCATTGTTGTTTGTTGATGAAGGAAGAAGGAAGGGAGGAAGGAGAAAATAGTCTCACGATGGGAAATTAACACCGTCAATGGTGTTAAAAACTGTACAGCTCATTAAATGTTTTTTTTCACATTCAGTCAGCAAAATGGCCCATTTCATTGTTCAAATAATTTCGAAAGTGTCATTTGAGAAACAGCCACCGTTTCTCAATTGAGAAACCCGGGCTTCCTCGGAATTACCCTATCTCGATATATAAAATAAAAGTTACCTACTAGACTTTAGGGATGTAGGATGAGGAGCAATATTACTAATACACCACCACTTCAACCTCTATAAAGTTCGTCATATTGCCCTGTAAAACATTCATCATCGATATAGGATATGTTCTTTCATTTTTACCTATGTGCTCCTTTTATCTAGAAATATATGTTCTTTCAAGAGTAGGATGTTCATTATGTACTCACGTGTAACACCTTGTATGCGATTATATATCTAACAAATTAGAAGATATAGACCCTACTAGGTAATAAGCATTGTGCAAAATAATTATTTTTGGACGGAAATTCTATGAATTTATTACTAAAATGGTAAAAAAGAACATTCAAGGGAGATGGAAAAAACTATTCAAGACTTAAAAATGACTTTCATGAATAATACTGTAGAAAAATTCTATGGTAAGGTTTGTCACAACCAAGAGCTTATGGGATCAAATCTAAAGATGTCAAACTGGGTATTTAAGTCAGGTTTAGGTCAAATTCAAGTTGGATCATGTCGGTTTTTTCTGACTTACAAGTCAGGTTTAGGTCGGGTAGGGTTGGGTCAAGTTCGATTTGGATTATGACAGGCTTTGTATCTTATTGGTTGCAGTTCGGGTTCGATTCGAGTCAATTTTGGGTCAGATTATGTTTTGGATTCGGTTTGTATCAAGTCGGGTTGCAGACAAGTTTGAAACAAGTAAATTTATGTTGGATGAACTTTAGGTCGAGTCATTCTTGGACTCGGGTCACATCTTAGTCAGATTTTGTAAAGACAAGTTTTGATAGATTAAAGCACAATCAAGCCATGTCATTCTTAGGGTCAGCCGGTAAAGGTGTCAATTCGAGTGATAGGGGCGAGTTCGATGAGGTGAAGTCATGTCGAGTCGGGTCAGTTCTAATTTCAAACTTGAGTCATTCTAAATTATCGGGTCCATGTGAGACAAAATCTGAATCGGATATTTTTTGTTTCGGGTCTAAATTTGATAACATTTTCAAATTAACTTTTAATTACAATTTGAAATCCACGTCAATTTTAAGTCAAAACAATATCAATGCGGGTTAATATAAGTTGGTTTAACTAGTTGGATAAAATCAGATCATGGGTCACTAAACTAATCACTATGATTCAGGTAAGAAGTATGTTATGTTAGGTGTATATTATATTGAAATTTTATCAAATTGAGTGTTGTTTCAGGTTCAGATCACTGTCTGGTCGGGTTAAATCAATTGTCGAACTATATCCATTCGGGTCGGTAACAAGTTGTGACAGGTTATAATTGATTCCAGATTCTAAACAAGTCGAGTACTAATCGGGTACAGATTATAATCAAGTCGGGGCTAATCAGTTTTCGGTTAATATCAAGTTGACTATAGGTTCAGGTCTAGGTCATAAAGTATCAGGTATATTCGGTTATCAGTTAATGTCGGGTATGTTTCGATTCAGGTTACATGTCACTATTTTCACCAATTCTTTGGGTACGGGTCGGATATATATGATTGCCAGTTCAGGTTGATTTTTCAAGTCGGGTTAGATTTTGACACCTCTAAATTCAAACCTCACTATAGACACTTTGGGATGGGGATTCCTTTATCCCCCCCCCCCCCTCACCCACCCAACATACGTTTAAAGGGCCTAGCTCGCTAAGGGTGTGTTCTCTTCACGTTATTGGACCTAAACTTATATGAACTGAACTTACCCAAACTTATTAGACTTTATTGAACTTATTGGAATTTATTAGACCTGATTGAAATTATTAAAACTTATTGGACCTTATTGAAACTTAGTGGACCTTATTATTAGGACTTATTGGAACTTATTAGACCTTATTTAACTTATTGGAACTTATTAGACCTTATATAACTTATTGAAACTTATTAAATCTTATTGAAATTATTAGACCTTATTGAACTTATTAGACCTTATTAAACTTATTGGACTTTATTGTAACTTACCAATTGATCAGGATTTATCTGAACTTATTAGACCTGACACTTATTTTTATAAGGTGAAGAGAACAAGCCCGAATTCGAGCTGTGTTAACCTGTAAAAGAAGAGAGAAACAATTGAACACACATGAGGAGGTTTGAGATCACAAGAATTACAGGGCAACCCGGCATTTGAAGGAAAAATTGAAGGCCGTGCTCCACTAAGCTACAGATTGAGCAGGCCGAGGATAAATATACTAGAGGATGCAACTAGCCAAACTAATAGTGGAAAAAAGAGAAGGAAATCTACTATCAGACGAAGGAGAAGAAAATAAACTGAGAAGGGAACGAGCCGAAAAGCCGTGTTTGGTTCCAGTTTCAAAAACAAGAGAAAGTTTATGAAAAAGTTTGTTGATGCAGGTATATGTCATGCTGGTATGAAGCGAAAGAATGACGCTCCCCAATCACCGGCCCTCTCCGACCGTCCCCGAAAGAAGTTTGTTAGTGTTGTTTGTAATTGTTTGTGTAATCATGTATGTCAATGTTGTTGTAGTAACGAGTCTGTAGTCGCTAGGGAAGGCCAGATAGCCTTTCTAGCTTAGTTTGTTTGTCCTTATTGTAACCACTGTCTATATATATATATATATATATATATATATATATATATATATATATATATATATATATATATATATATATATATATATATATATATATATATATATATATATATATATATATATATACTAGTCACTAATGTTGCATAATCACACCACTTAAATTTTAATACTAATTGAAAATTGTATCAAACATTAATAACAAAATCCATGGGAGATGATAATGGCAGGGATCTTGTTCATTGTACACTTTGTTCATTTTTAGCTTTTTTTTTTAGTGGACATTTTTATTAATAATAAATGATCCACTAGACATGTATGTTTAATAATCTATGAGTTATTTGTATCATTTTAATTGTCATCCATCTGCGATATATATAGCTATTAGACTTATTTAACTCGAGTTGAGCTAAATACTTATAACACACTCTAATATAATATTTTTGAGATCATTTTTTTTTCCTGCCATACTTATTATATATATTTATCAATTAGTTAACGGGTTAATCACGTAATTGATAAGTATTTAGACTTTTGGACATGATATTTGAAAGGCTAGTTTCTTTGCAAATCAACATCAAAAAATGGCAAGAAAAAAAGTAGACATAACCAAAAAAGCAATGCTATTTCTAAAACTAATCAACACTTCCCCTTCAATCATGACAAATCAAGACTCTTTACCCCCCAGTTTTCATGGTATCTTGAAACTACACTAATCAGAACATGACGCAATTGATTAGATTCCTTTTTTCATCTTGTTTTCTTATAGCTCCTTTTGCTTTGTAAAACTTGCGGGAAGCATAGAAATCTTTTTATCTTATACTTTTGCTAAGAGACTATGGTATTGTTTGGTTGGTTAAATTAAAAATAGAAGCTAGGTAAGAAGAATATTTTTCCATAAAACAAGCTAAGTATTTTTCAATTAGGAAGCCAATATTTTGTGTGGTCAAACACAAAAAGTTTCACTTAGGAGAATTAGGTAAGCAACTTCATTCATTTTGTGAAAAATAAAACTTTTAATTTAAGAACCTATGATACGACAAAATATATAACTGTATAAGTAGTAAAATCATGCCTTGAGTCCTATTGTCCTATTTGGTTTACTAATAAGAATTTTTCATTATACTTGAAATTGAAAAAGAGATAAACACGGGTTCTTTTTTGGGTTTTCTCCTTCGGAGGGTTTTTTTTTATCCCTCTAGGTTTTCTCCCTTGGGATGGTTTTCCTAGCCTCCATTGCTAGGTTTTTTCAATTTTTTTTTGAAGGTTTTCCTTCTCTCTTCTCCCTTTTCTCTCCATCTCTACCATCTCTTTCCTCTTGGTCTCAGTTGTGAATCTTTGTAGGGGCTTCTACTAGTGTTCTTACCGGTGGTAAGTCCCCAAAAATCTTTTAATTGCTTT